TCCAAGATTTTTTTTTTTATTTCTTCTTCTGGTACTACACACTGCATTAACAAACTGACGAGTGAAACTGAATTGTTAAGCATAAAACGACGAGTGGCACTTTAAATGTGATAGCATGGTAATTATGGTTATTGTTAGTAAACTGGTTGCAAGATGAACTTGTTAACTATGCTGGATGCCTAAGGTAGTCATTAAATTGAGCTTAGTATGACACTAAGACATAATATGTCTCAAAGATGGTAGTAAATAGTAAGCAAACACGATACAACCTGCGTTTATTTTAACTAATAAAATCTGTCAGAATATAACAGTTTACCCCTTTTAAAGCTTTAATTAAATCCAAGGCTATGATTTGGATTTACACAAAAGTCAGACAATCAAAGGATAAATCAAAGAAAAAATCTGTTCTGACAAGAAGGCAAAAGTTAAGAAATTTCTAAATTTTTAAGCAAAAGATCATATGAAAGAAAACTTTTATAAGGAATTTGCGATAATCTGTGACATCAATAAATAAATTAAAATAAAAATTGTTTCGCTCGCAAATATTTTTCATAGGCCAAACATTTTTTCTTCACACTACTCAGTTCTTTGATTTTGTTATAAGATGCATGTTTATGTACACTTGTGAATGTCTATCAAAGACGTTCCAAAAACACCTAATTACAAGAATATTCTATATCTGTCTATATCTTTGAGATGAGGTATTATGATTACTTGCATTACTTACATTATTCGGACTATTATCCTTATTGCTATATTCACAATCTTTCGGACGCTGTACGCCTCGGCCTTCTTCACGTGATTGGATCTCTGAGATGAGGCCTTATGATTACTTACATTATTCGGACTCTTATTCTCATTGCCATATTCACAACGTTTCGGACGCTGTACGCTCCGGCCTTCTTCAAGTAATTGGAATTTCGAACCGATCCCTTTATTTCGTCCACTGGGGTAGATTGTTCTAGTTCCACGTGCCATGCCACTTCCGGATGTCTCGTTTATTTTCCTTTAACTCAACTCTTCAAGTTTGAGTCACCATTGTTGGGCTGGTACTAAACTCACAACTATTTGGGTCTAGTCACTGGATCTAACAAAGGTCTTTATCCACTGGGCCATGTGTCAAATAAATTCCAATCACCCGCAGGAGACCGGAGCGTACAACGGCCGAAGCGTTGTGAATATGGCAATGAAGATGGGGATAACAGTCCGAATAATGTAAATAATGGAAGTAAGAATATTCTAATTATTCTTCAAAACAGACATTGTACATGTAAAATCTATTCATTGTCGATAATGATAAAATAGTTACTAATAGATGTTTATCCCATAAACAACAAGATAAGTTACTTATTAAGATACTATTTATACATTTATTCAGACATTATTCTAATTTATAAAAAATGCAGCAAGTGTAAACAAGAAGCAAAAAAATGACAGAAAAAAATAGAAAAGAACGATTTTTTCGAAACGTTTGAAAATATAATCATTTTTCTACAGACTATTACGACTGTTGAAAGTTCGATCCTCACTGGGTGCCCCACAATTGTAGCCATATGTTGTGATGAACGAAATCTATTTGATACTGATAATTCTGCAGCTATGAATGCCTGCCGTAGAGCGATAGTTCACAAATTTGTCTCGAAGTCCATGACGATGGTAGTGAGTTTTTATCCTCACCAGGTGCCCTCCATATGTTTTTAGTAAGCTAAGATTAGTAAATAGAACGAAATAAAGTGAAGGTTTGCTTTGGTTTGGTTTGTTTTACGGGATATCAACCTCAATGGGTTATTTAATGCCGGCAACATTTTTATTGCTATTAATATTTTGTTTTGTCAAAAATCTATTTCTGGTGATATTTTCCGTTCAAAATGTATTGCTGATAATAATTTTTTTCAAAAAAGTATTGCTGGTAATATTTTTTTTTTCAAAAATTTATTGCTTGTAATAGAATTTTTTCTTCAAAAATTAATTGCCGGTAATAATTTTTGACAAAGTATTTCTGGTATTAAAACCTATTTTACATTTTCATAGTGTTTTTACCCCAGTTTCGTGGTTAACAATTTACCCATAGCTGGGACCCTAACAGGTGCTACCACTCCGGGTCAGGGCGGACCTGGGAACATCATCAATTAAGAGGTATTTCCACGCTCCTCAAAACCTGATCAAAGGCCTTGCTGCTGGACGTATTTTATCGTCTTATCCAGGACGCGGATGTAGTTTATGGTCATACCCAAAACAGAAATAAAGTGAAGGAATAATCAACGAGCTTATCTCATAGGCCATTACTAATGTTATGAGTTCGATCCTCACTGGGTGCCAATACTTACATAGTAATAATTCAAACAGAGTAAGTAATAATAATGTATCAGCGGGTGTTTACTAGAGAATAATGGATAGGAAGGGAATCTCCTTAAACCCCTGTTAGTGAAGTTCGTTTTCGCCTTGGGAGGTTCTCCACAACTGTGTCCCTCATCACCCAGAAGTGTGTCTCTCACCTTCCAGAAGTGTGTCCCTCATCACCCTGTATAAATGTTAATTATGTTATAGCTTCTCTTGGCCCAAATTGGCCTGAATTAAATTTATATTCATAAATTCGTACAACCTAAATGTTATCTAGTGTATCTAAAATAATGTTTTTATTTTGTTTAGAAACATAAATTAAATGATGGCGATTGGGTTGAGGAAACATTCTGTTTTGTACGGCTGGTTTGGAAACAGTCATTCGGTTTTGATGCCATTACAAAAAACGTTAAATGTGAATATATGAGAAAAAAAAAACCTTTTACAAATAAAATGACATGATGATGATGTGCAATTCTTTCATGAACATGGTTAAAATTCTTGTTCACTTGATATGTTCTCTCATCTCGCCACAAATCAAGAGAAAACAATAAAACAAATCAAGAAGAGGATTTGGGAAAAATGCTGTAGAGTTGGGGGTTGGGACAAAAAACAGAATAATGCTTCTTTTATGCACAGTGTCCCTTCAGGAGACAAGGAATCATGGAGCTCCACAATTTTTTCTATCCTTTGTAGCTCTTAGCAATGGTTGTCCCATTACTATCCATTCCCCCTCAGGTGTCGTTTAAATTTCAACTGTTTCCCTTTTTGGTTCTAAGAACCTCATGAAGTCGCTTGAGAAAAAAACTGGAAATGAGCGAAATAAAAATTAGAAAAATTAAAAAAAAAACTGAAAAGAAAATAATCTTAGACAAAAAGAAAAATTGGTGAAGCCTTCGATGTTGTGAAATATTTAGACCACTTTAAACCGATAATATTTTTCGGGATAGCAATCTTGACCTTCTGCCTGTCTTTAACCCGAACTCGGGCAAAAGTGTATAAATATATTGGTCATTATGGTTTATTCCTTTCTTATGTGATTTAGCAGAAATGAAATAATATATATATTCGCCGAACTCGTTTATTTTAATATGGTGACCTCATGGATTGTTTCCCGAAATGTCCTAATAACACGATTTACAGAAGCCAAATCATTTCTTTCCTTTTCTTATTTGATATTTTTCCCTCTTCACTCGATCTTTTCGGTTAAAATTCATGAGTAAATAAATGAAAGCAAAACACTTCAAGCTTTTCAATGGAAAAAAGAAAAATAAAGAAAATGTCGGCACAAAGAAAGAACATTGGTTGCAAAATTCAAATATTCAGGTTTCTTCGCTATTATTGCATTCTTGGAATTCAAAAAATTCTTGGAATTCAAAAAAATTCTTGGAATTCAAAAAATTCTTAGAATTCAAAAAATTCTTGGAATTCAAAAAATTCGTGACTATCCTTTCAAAAATTGTTCGCGCGATTACACTCGTTCTTTGTGTTGCTATTATTGTTACTAGGACATTTCGGTCGATTCATTCTTCGGTCTTTTCATGTTTACAGTCTCGTGCGAAAAGTGAGGAGGCTATTTTCTACAGAAAAAAGGAGGTAAAAGTAATGACGTCTAAAATACTAACTGGCAGAAGAGGGCCGTAGAGAGAGTCTTCCGAAATGTGGTAACAAAAAAAGGAACACAATGAGTTCAAAAGTTATCTCAGTATATTACGCAAATTTGATGAAAATGGGCGTATTAAGGATTGTGAAACAATACTGACTAGACTTTTTTAAAAAATATTTTTTCATATGAAAGGTGGAATAAAACAGGAGTGTCCTCGCTCCCACTCTGTCTGAAATATTCTTTCAAGCACAATCCAAAATTCAAATAAAATGTCTTCGTGATTTTCTCCATGTAAAACGTACCACCCACTCAGGAGAAGACCTTCAACACTTTATTAACCAATTCAGGATGCTCGTCTTATCTACGGATTTCTACCAGTCTCAAAAGAAAAGGTCATTAGGCAAAATGTGGACTAATCACTCAACATAAGAATCTCTGCGTTCAGTTATTTCAGACTTACTCTTTCTCTAGACACTGAGCTAAGAAAGCATATTGGTAAGGTTGTTAGCACTCCGTCCATAGAGAATATGGAACAACGGCAAGCTGAGAAACACCGAGGTCCTAGTTTACAATGCAACGTAAGCAACCTTTTGTAAAGCAGTGAAACAACGTGCTGCACAGGAGCGAAAGCTCAACGACTTCCATATTCACAACCTCCGACACCTGCTGAACATCTGTTGGCAAGACAAAATCCTCGAGTGGGCTGGGACTCCTACCATGTGTAGCCTCTTAACGAAATGACATTTTGGCTGGCTCGGACAGGTCTTGCGAATGGGTCCACCTGTTGAGAGAGCTGACTCAAGGAAAGAACTTCACAGGCAGGCCCCAAGCACGCTGCGAAGATATATGTAAAAGGGACTTGATGACCCTAGGAAACAACACAGTCTTCGATCGATCATCCTGGAGGCAGGCAGAGCAAAAAGGCCTCATCAAGTTTGAAGTGACATTTGCTCGACAGTCAGGGGCGAAAAGGCAAGAAAGGAACGCCCAAACGATAGAGAGAAAAGCTTCGTCAGCGTAAAACGAGCGAAGGACTGGCATTCTCGAATAGAGCTTACGGTTAAATCACGCTGAAAACACCGGTTCTCGTTCGATCACCGAAGTTAAGCATCGTAGAGCCAGGTCAGTACTTAGATGGGGGACCGCTTGGGAACACCTGGTACTGTAAGCCCCAACCCTTACCTCACAGTCGGTGGGGGGGTGTAAACGGTAGTGTCAGAGCTATGCCGTCCGGAACTTCGTTCCTGGTAGGGCCACCCAAGGCGGACAGGTCTGACACACACGCCGGCTAACAAGGGCTCTGGTGAAAATCCAAGGAGCGTCTGCATCGGCAACCGGCGGCTTCTGGTCGTTCCTGTCTCTGCGTCTGTGGGAATCCCGCGGCAAGCAAGAACGTTATTCGAGTAGGCCTGGTTACCCTACTTCTGTAATTTATCCCAAGAATCTTCTTCTCACAACAGGAAGAAGCCGGCTCAATCCGCCGAGGGTGAATGCCGCATCACACACACACACATTCTCGAATAGGCCTACTAGGACGCGGCGGGCGCTGTGTCTGAAACATCATTCAGGACACAAATCGATACTTTTTTTTTTATGAGAGAGGCATGATATATAAATAGATATCCATCATTTTAAATGCCAATTTTCAAGGTAAATAATTTTTGGATATTTAATCCCTTATTATCGTTTAACTTCCATTTTGAAAACAGTTTTTTTTTTTTATTCGGGCAATATTATTCCAGTCTTAAGAAAAATGGAAACCTCTGGAATGGTCGGAATATACAAGTCGGCCTAAATTTGAATTTACTACGAGCCACCACTTTCGACATTGTCAGCTACATATGCGAGTCATGGGCACTGACCAAGAAAGACACCAGATTGATACTTTCGAGATGTGGACACATTGCAGAGTCCTTAAAGTGACATTGACAGCGAGACGCACTAATATGGGTGCTAGATGCCATCAGAACAATGTATGCATTGAAAGAGTAGGAAGAAGCCCCATTACTTGGTGCCTATTAGGCGACTTCGATAAGCACATTCTTCATGTCATAAGACGAAGTCATCCTCTGAAGAAGGTACTCATTTGCTAACCATATGTACCTGCTTATAATATACAATTTAAACAGAACAAAGAAAAATGGCTATTATACCGAATGTTACTTACACCCTTGTGAAAATTAATTGAAACAAAACGATTAATTTCTTTATTATTTACTTTTTTTCATATTTTCTCAATGAAACACGACCCAGTGCACATGTTTATACTTCGTATATCCATTCCATGATGTTGTTCCTTGCAGATTGACCACAGATTCTCGATTGGATTTAAATCAGGAGAGTTTCCGGGCCAGAATATTGTACTTTGATTTTCTCACCGGTAAAGCTTGCCAGTGTGTTCGTGTAGTGTTACAATTTTCATATGCTACCTTGGAGTAATGTCCATCGCAGACAATGGCTGTCGAGACAATAGTGTCTGGGCGTGATAAAATTCTGATGCCATCACGGATGATGCAATATTTTTCAAGGCCATACAAATTTCACCATACTTCCCGAAAAGAGATTCATATTATTGCAAATCACTGCAAATGATCTAATCTGAGAGAGAAAAAAAATCCATTACACCCTGACACTCCAGTGGGCCTAAAACTGACCGTATGTTGAAAGAAAAAAAAACCAAAACCCCCCAAAAAACCGGGTGTTTCAATTAATTTGCACAAGGGTGTAGATCAGGAATTATTATTATGATATACCCTCCACATTCTAAGGAAGGAAGGCTTGGAACAATTAATATTCACAGTCCGTATTGAAGGTTAGATAAGGAACGAAAGTTACTTAGAGCTACACCGAACAGAAAGTTATGGAGAACCATAATCACTAACGTCCTAAAAAAGCACATAAATGATGATAATGATCTTCATTTTGTTTGTTATACCCACAAGTTTTAGGCCGTTATGCCCTTCGGTTTTCTTCAAGTGTCTCTTACACTCCATGGCTATCAAGTACGATAGACAAATGAAGAAGGCCGGACGGTTCAACTGCCGAAACGGTGTGGGTATTGCAAACAAGGTGAGGATACTCATCAGAGTAGTAAGGGCTGAAAAGAGGAAAGACATTTTACTAAGATTATGGATGCGAATTCAAGTCTTATCTGAAGTGATTTTTTTATTTTATTTATGATTTGGTGCTGTCTCGTCTAATGATCAATATGTGGATCAATAAATAAAAAAACTAGTAATAAAATCCTAGTGAAAGCAAAACAATTTACAGAGATATCGAACAGAGGTGAACAACCTCTCATACCCTTTCGGGCAGTCCATTTGAACCCAATGACCTTCAAAGTTTTATAGATCGAGTGCGACTTTATTATGTGGGGTCGAGTTAACCCCTCGTAATTTTATGGGTCGATGTAGATATCGGTAGATACAGTACTTCCTTTAACTCTCTCTCTCTCTCTCATAGAAGCGAAAATAGATAGAGATTTAGGTGTATTGTTTGTAAGCGGAACAAAGGAAAGAGAAAGCGAGTGGGAGTTAAGGTGATTTAAGAGAGACTATGATTGACAAACACACAGTGGCGAGGACAAGTATGAGGAGAGGCTAATACAATAATTTACTTAAGGGGTAAAAAAAAAAAAAGAAAGACAGAGACGGGTAGCAAAGAGAATGGTTATTTAGTGGGCGAGTGAGTAAGCGAAGGTGGGGCTGGAACATAATTATATCCGGACGAGTCATTTAATACATCCAGTATGGCAGTTTGAACAAGTTGACGTCACCGCGTGTGTATATATATATATATATATATATATATATGTGTGTGTGTGTGTGTGTGTGTGTGTGTGTGAAATTATATCTAGCACTTAAATTTCCGAAAATTACGTCAATTGAAAAAAAAAAAAAGGTTTAAATTTACCTTATTTTATGATATAAAATGTGGATTCGTTTCTCATCGAAAGAGTTTATTTTTTTAACGATAAAGAATAAAAATGTCCGGAAAAGAATCGAGCGAAAATAAAAAGCAAAAAGATAAAGAATATAAAGCTGAAAGGAAAAAAGAGGAAAAGAACCAAATGAATAAAAGAAAACTGAGAGAGAGAGAGAGAGAGAGAGAGCGAGAATGAGACAGAGAGAGACACACACAGAGAGAGAGAGAGAGAGAGTGAGAGAGAGAAATAAAAAACAGAAAAATTAGAACAAAGTCATTTTTAAATAATGGAGTTTTTTTTGTTTTTTTTTAATCTGACAGTATTTCTTAATACTATAAACTTAATATGGATGCAAGTTTTTAAGACATTCGTGCTTTTTTTCTAAATTAATATCTACCATATATATATATATATATATATATATATATATATATATTCCATATTTTAATTTTATCTAGAGCCCTCTTGAAGAAGCTTCCTGAATATAAAAAATATTTACATTTGTGTTTGAAAATTTCCATCTGATTAACATAGCGGACCACAAATTGAAGATCATAGTTGGCTCCATCCATGATACATTTGTCGCTGCTATATTGTCCACAATTATCAATGATTTCATGTCAAAGTACCGGTTTATCGTGACACGAAAAAATAACTCACTCACCTCCACCCTCTGACCTTATTTTTCTATTTAGCATAGATCTGACATTTAATTGTTTAATCGAGACATATCCACAAGTTTATTTTTAATTATGACCTTATGCTCCTCTTAATTTTCAGAAATTAGGTAACGATTTGTTTTAAATTTCTCTAAAAAATAATTTTTCATCATCAGTTACCAACCATCGCCTGATGAAGTCCAAACATAGTAATGAAACATGAAAGCTTTTGCGTAGCAATTTAAAATGTTTTATTATAATCTCGTGTGTGTGTGTGTGTGTGTGAAAATGTTTTATTTACGATAATGTACTTCCCGGTAGGAATCGAACTTATACTCACTTTTTAATATGGGAATAATATAAGCAGGTATAGATTTCGAAAGATCCCAACTAAAAATGTGCTTTCCCTAAAGAAGTCAATAGAATCATGCTTTGCTGTGTGGCTTCCCATGGCTTAAAGCTGAAGTACATTTGAGTTGAAAGTTGTTCCCCAGAGTAAAAAGAAAATATAGGTTCGATTCCTGTTGGGAGAAACATTTTACTTCGTAAGACTTTCGATACGGTAGATAAACTGGGACTGGTAGATATAAATTTCACTGTATAAAAACTGCATAATTCACACATGTGTATCCATGTAAATATAACGTTTATAGTAATATATATAAATATATATATATATATATATATATATATATATATATATATATATATATATATACACACATGGTCACAGTAATATTATTGCCTCCTATTTTATTGTCATATGCAAATGTTGGCAGGTGGAAACATCTTAAACAATAAGCCATATTTTGGCGGCCTTTTTACCGAGTGCGATTTATGTCTGACATAAATATATATATATATATATATATATATATATATATATATATATATATATATATATATATATATATATGAAGCTGCTTAATCAGAAAAAGGGTTCAATTAGAATGGAGCAAAAATGGCATCATGTATAGATGTAACAGAGTCTATCTTCTTCAATTGCTTTAAAGTACTTTCATGAAAAGCATTTTGAATTAATGCAGTTACTCATATAACAGAAGTAATCTGTATTTATTCAATCGAAGTTAGCTGAGGACATGAATGGGTAAAACAGGCAACATGAAGACCCACTTCAGACCACAATTAATTTGGAGTTTTTGAAATTCAATTTGCCAGTGAGATACCAGGGATGTAAAAGAGGATACATTTATAAAGCAATTGTTAAGTCTGATGAACATTGGTTGAAAGATCAACGAAAAATACGAAAGAAACTAGTAAAAAATTTTTTTTGCTATTTACGCGGGATTTTACTATATGGATAGACTCAATTATCAAGTTAAATGGCTGTTAAACAATCAACTTATTGTTGGCTACAAATGAGTGAAGTTTGTATTAGATTGCTTGAAAATTAAGGCAGATTTTAGTTTAAGATTTGTGTTAAAATCGATTTTTCGTTTCTCGCAGTTTTTCGCTAAACTCAGTGGCTTAGAAATAAAAATGAAGTGTCGCTGAGCTGGTCATGATGTAAGTAACATACATACCGAGTTTGAACGAAATTTGTGGAAAAAAGCTGAATATATCGGCTATTGATATTTTAAAATTATCGATTTTTTACACTAAGAACCTATCTCTTACATTGTACAATGCATATGCCAAGTTTGGTTAAAATCAGATTAACAGATAATTATAAATTCTGAGATTTTAAGAATGTTTTAGAGATAATGATGATTTATCATCTATCAGTAAATCATTATTATCTCTAAAACATTCTTAAAATCACAGAATTTTTTCTGGCTTTAAATAATCTACAAAAGGTTGGTACACCGTAAAAAAACAATACCCCAGGGAAAAGAAAGAATACACTTCTTTCCAAATATATCTCTGGAATTCTTAATTGCCTATGCAATGATAACAGTAAAAAAAGAATATGTCATTCCGAGATAACATTGCGTAAATTAGATATGCTTAGGTAGTAATTATTCAATAATACATGCTTGATTAAAGTGAAAAAAAAACGACATGTTAGTAGTTAATGTATGCAAGAAAATCTTTCCCACACAAACGCTTTAGTTCATTCGTTTTGATATTATCTATGTATAAGAATTCAGTGGTTTACTTTTATTTATTTAAAAAATAAGGTCAACACGCTTGCATAAAAATATAGGGTCAGCACGCTTCTATAACAGCCCAACTACTTAGGCAGTACTAACATTAAAAAGCCGTTAGTGTACCGACAATCTTTACAAGGGTCATTTATCATAACTGCCTTAGCTTTCTATATAGTTTCCCCATTCCCACTGAAAAGAAATATTTTTCAAACATTCGTTAACAACATTAAGGGTAACTGCAACTAGTAAACGATTGGCTGAGATTGGAAATAAAGTTATTTTCATAATTTTCTTACCTGTCCCTTCAAGAAACAACGTGTTTGAAGTTAATATGGACATGAACTATCCATACAAATAATGCTGAATATGGAATAATCAAGTGTTTGGTGGAAGGTTTGTCAAAAAGGGTAAAAGTGTTGTTGAACGTTTGAAATATGAGCTTGGAACAAGTGAAGCGGAACGGTGCACAGTGAAACGAAACAAGACAACTCTACTAACGTCTCCGCCTAAAATATGAATTTTTATTTACTATTTATTTTCTTCAGTAGGAGCAGATAGGTTCGCCTATCGTCCGGCTCTCACCCTTGGTGGTCTTTTGAACGGGAGTAGAACTTTATCCATAGTTCCCTGTTTAGGATTGGGTTTCCGGTTCCTTTTAAAGTTCAACTCTATACTTCTAAGATCTCCGACTAAAATCTGGAATTTTATGTACTATTTATTTTTCAATAGTAGTGGATAGGTTAGCCTATCGTCTGGTCCACACATCTCCACACATGTCTTTTGAACAGTAGTAGATGCTTATACCTTGTTTCTTGCTTAGGATTGGGTTTCCGGTTCCTTCTAAGATTTTCATTTTCTTTCCATCCCAGTAGCCCCTTGTGCCTTGGTGGCATTATCGTCTTGCTTGGGGTGAATTGATTAAAACAAAACAAAACAAAAAAATTCATAGTCATGTGACAAATGCATGCCCTATATACACACGAGTCCGCAAGGAGACACTTATTTGCTGAGTTTTGATCTGAAAGTTTTACTGTATAATGTTGTCAATAAAAAACTCTGTGTTAAGTGCATTGACAAGGAAAGAGATTATGTGGGAAAACGTTTATATTTTTTTTACAGTACTTGTCTTTACATCATTAGACTGATTACTTCTTGACCTACCTATGAATATAGAATATTGGACTAAATAATGAAAAGTACAAATATGTGTCAAGAACATAAAGATATAAACTACAAATTTGAGACTACAATAAGCTTGTCTTTGTAAGTTACCCCTGAAGAAGATCTTGGAAAAGAAAGAAAGTACTTGGATTAACAAAAACTATTGCTCTTTCCTTGATGAATTACATCTTAACATCAAAAAACTGACTTGACAACTGGAAAGGATCAGTATAAAAAGAAGTAGTCACACTTTGTCTATATTATTCAATGAAATTATATATATATATATATATATATATATATATATATATATATTTCAACATATTAAACATAACAGACAATGAATGTCTATTATGTCTGATCATGAGCCGTTCTAATCTTTGAATGTTTGCTTTAATTTCAGGTGAAAATAAAAAAACAAAAATTGTCCAACATTTTTTTTTATTAATTTGGTCCTAAGCTCAGGATGGTTATACAGACATGAAACAAAGATATCAACCGCCAAACATTATATTTTGTTATAGAAAATTTCTATGCAACGATAACGGTCCCGAAATAGCAGACGCAGATCGTAAATTCAAGATGCGGTTCTATGACGTCATACCATGCGAGAGACCGAAGTATTACAAAAGAATCAATGTCTAGATGCAATGCAATGTGTTGTGACTAGTTTGAAATATAATTTTCTTGTGTGGATTGCTTCATTTTAATGTAGATGGCCTTCAATATCTGAAGGTTCTTTTTACTGTGTGTATGTGTGAGTATTGTTGTGTTATCAACTAATATCTGTATATTATGTACATGGCTATATTTTTCTAAGAAATGTTGTTTAATAGAACTAGGATCAGAAAGGTGACAGGTAAGTCTACAGGAGAGTGTGGTTGTAGTAAAACCAATATATGTAGAGGGTTTATTATTAGAATCAAAGATACAATCTCTGAACGGGCATGTAAACTGATATTTGCAAAGGATTTAGTTGAGTGCTTAAAGGGTTATTAAAGACTATGAGGTCAATTGTTTTAAATTTTTTATAATATATGATGAGCTTAACTTGTTTATTATTATCAATGGGTTTAATATTTCTACCTATTATTTTTTTGAGTGTTGTTTCTTCATGTTTGTAATTATTATACATTTGGTTACAATAGTATATGCTATGTCTATTTCTTAGAGGTATTAAGTTTATTGAGATCCATTTTAATTTGCTGATCAATGACAAAATTAGGAAATCCATTATTAACAAATGTTTGTTTAATGTTATATAATTCTTTATAGAATATCGTTTTGGAAGAAGATATAATTTGTGTGTGTTGGATTAAGTTTTTTATAACAGCTAACCTATATTGAAATGAGAACGAATTAAATATAAATTAAAACGTTCATAATTTAAAAATAGGATTCGATACAATAGTAGAGCAATAATTCTTTATTATAGGATATTACATTCGAACATATGTAACCGCTACATCAATGTATTCATGTTTCGATGCCCATCAATAGAATCTCATCAGGCGGTGGTAAGTAAACGTTATTACAATTTTTGATATTTACTTGCTAACAATCTCTTTTCCCGCGAAAAAAGAAAAGCAAGAAAGCAAGGAAGACAAAGGAAAGAAAGACACAAGATATATTCTTAAAAAGATAAGGAAAAGAAAGAAGTATAAGTCTAATAAAAAGAATAAGAAGAGTGAGAAAGAAAGAAAGATATAACCCTTTCTTCAAAAAGAAAGGGGAAGAGAGAAAGATAAATTAAAGATGATATAGAAATGTAAGGAAGAAAAAAAAATATATTTAGGCATGTGTGATTATATAAATTTCAGACATACTATCTACTTATTTTTAATAAAATCCGTTCATCCTCACGGATAACCTTCCGTGTATTGCAATTAAATGATGTGAGAAATGCACTATAACTGTGGAAATAGATTTTATTTCCCATTGCCCAAGTACTTTCGATCTTCTTCTGATATCATCTTCAGGGATGTAAGTAATAATACAAAACTGTGTGTTGTTCACGGCTGCAAATAGTAAAAAAAAACAAACTGTTTTTTGATATCCATTACTGTAATTTTTCTTTCTGCTTTCAAATGTAACGGTTGACAGCCATGCTTAGCGTTTATTGGAACGTGAAAAAATATCCACTGTGGAATTTTTCTTGTGTGTTGTTATGTCATGAAGAAAAAAAAGGAAGGAAAAAGTGGGAAGGAAAGAAAGGAAGGTTGTCTGTGAGTATGAACGGATTTTATTAAAAATAAGCAGACATAATATCTGTAATTTATTTAATCAAACATACCTAAAAGGAAATTTACTGCCTAAATGCACACACACACATTATATATATTGAGACAACCTTTTAAACTCACTCGTAATTAACAGAAACTGGCGATAGCTCTGATTTTACAAATGCACCCTAATTAAAAAAGAACATAATTCTTTACGTGGAAAAAACTTCGACGGAGATCCTGATAAATATTTTACCCACTAAAAACACACGTCAAGAACACTATGTTACATCAACAATCATTATTAAATCTATTCTTAGCGTATGTTTATCTACTACGACCGGTGTTTACGTAAAAACGTCCTCAAACCAACATACAGAGAACCACCAAATATAAATTATATCTACCACACATATACACACTTACGATTATATTATCATCCGAATCCCAAACTAGAATTATCATACACTTACATATATAAAGCAATATTTACGTTTTTTTTTCAGTTAGGCTTTGAATCTGTTAACTTTTTTGAGCTTCAAAATTACGCGTCGTCTCTCCTTGAGAGAGACGAACGCCGTATATTATACTAACGCTGCTTAACAAGTCAAATGCACGTGAAGCCTGCTTAAGCAATGAGAATGAGACAAGACAAAAATGAAAATGCAAGAATTTCTTTTTTCTCTATATGTCATTCTCTGATGAAGCGTTAATAAAAGTTAAACATGTTAGATTGATAAACGTTTCCTATTCGTTGTATCATTTTGTCGGGTTCCGATCCATATTTGATCCATATATATATATATATATATATATATATGTATGTATGTATGTTATTCAATACGTGTGCATCCTAAATGAGTCAACCTGTTATCCGGCCTTTTCGGAGATTTGCTTTCAGAATGTCGGGAGAAAAGGCAACTCAACAGTATGAGGGCCAATTCCGTTGAATGTCTTTGGCGGACATAAATCTGAATGGCATTTTCAAATGTCAATTAAATGGCGCAGTTTTCCTGCTTTGGATTTTGTTGAGCATTGCCAGTGGAATATATAGAAAAGTGTGTGTGTGTGTGTTTGTGTGTGTGCAGTCGTTTTTGTGATCGTGTGCGGTTTGGGTGGTGGGATGAGGGTTAAATCAGGGAAGACGACGAAGAGAGGTGAGAAAGAAAGTTGAAGAAAACAAGGATATTTTGTGTGTGTGTGTGAATAAGAGAGAGAGAGAGGAGGAGGAAATCGACATAGGAACGAAGAAGAGAGAAATAATAACATGGAAAAACAAAGGACGGATATAGCGTCGTTCATAAAAGGAAAATGGGAAAGCGTGCAAGTTGGAGGTAAAGAGATAGAATAGGAGAAGGCAAAAAAAAAAGAAAGAAAAGTGAAGGGTAAGAGTGGAAAAGACAGAAAGGAAGAAAGGAGTAGAAAGGAAAGAAATGACAGAAATTGATAAGCAGAAATAAAAGGAAATAAAAAAAAAACATTTAAGAGGGAAAAGAAAAATGTCGAGAAGAGAGATGCAGATTGAGAGAAATAAAAGAAAGTAAGTGAGAGGTGACAAATTATTAATCTAACAAAGATAGCGGGAGAAAGAGAGAGTGGAAAACAGTTGAAAGAAAAAAAGAAGGAAGAAAGAAAGAAAGGAGGGAAGAAAGAAAGAAGGAAAGAAAGGAGGGAAGAAAGAAAGAAGGAAAGAAAGGAGGGAAGAAAGAAAGAAGGAAAGAAAGAGAGAAGGGAAGAAAGAATGAAAGAAAGAAAGAAATAAAGAAAGAAAGGAAAAAAGGAGAGAAGGAAAGAAAGGAAGGAGGGAAGAAAAAAAGAAGGAAAGAAAGGAAGGAAGAAAGAAAGAAAAAAAGAAAGTTTATAGAAACACAGCAAAAAGTAAAAATTTCGTGATAGAGTTTTAATATGAAAAAACACGAGATTGTAAGACAAAGGTAAAACATAAGTGAAAGAAGAATATAAGATCATTGAGAAAAGAAAAAAAAAGAGTAAAATGCAAGAAAAAGAAAAGTTTAAGAGAAAGAAATAGAAAACACAGAAGAGAAAAAAGTAAGAACGAAAAGAAAAAAGGAAAAAAAGAGCAAAGAGAAATAAAACAAAATGAAGAGAAAACAAAAAAGAACAGAACAGAAAAAGAAAGCGAAAAGAAAAGTAAAACGTGTAAAGAGAACAAAAAGAGAAAAGAAAAATGAAATCAAGAAAAAGAAAGCGAAAAAAAAAAAAAAAGAAAGAAGAGAGAACTTTTATGTTTTCCTTATCTACGAGCGGCTTTGTTTTAGTCTGCCGCCAATATTTAAGTAAAGGAGCGAAAGATAGTCTTTAAAATGGCTGCCGAGAACGTCTGCTAAAAAGACCGATTTCATATCTAACCTCTCTCGGCCTGGTTTCCTTTTATTTAACATTTTTGCAATCAACCGCCTGCCATTTAAAATATCAAGTGCCCTGTTCTTTTCAAAGTGAATATTAATTGGATAAATTTCAGATAACAACAGGATTTTGAAAGGAAAATGATAGTTTTGATTTTTACTGCTGCGTATGGCGTAAAAATAATAATTTCGTTTTATTTTTCTTTTGTTTGGTAAAGCAAATCCTTGAGAAAGGGCATTGCATGTGACGCGTCCTAAACCTCTTGTATTTGGAAAAAAACGTAACAATGATAGATATAACTCAGAGACTAAACCGAAGAGAAAATGTTCGAATATATTTTTTCTTTCTAGGTGCAGGGATCATTGAATGAAACTCATAGGACGAAAGACAGACCCACTACATTTCCTGTCCAACGTCATGCATTTACACTTTGATGGATTCAGTCTTTATAATCCGTATTTCAACGATTAACGAACCGTATCTATGGAGCTGATCTTTTAGGCTTTCGAACAGCATCATTTGTAATATTAGTTCTTATTATCCGTAAAACAATTCGGATATATTTTTTTTTCTGTGAATAGTATTGCAGATGTAGCATATTAACAGAGATTCACAATTTTATTATTTAGAAAAAAAAATTTTTTTTCAATCATTTTCATAAAAAATATCCGTCTTCATGCTATCACGACGTTTTTTCACTTCGAGTGGCGCCAAACATGACTCGACTTACTAAACAAATAATTTTCTTATTGTATAGCAATCATGTGCAACCAGGTTGATAAATATTAACTGAAAAGTGATTCAATTGCTATGGACAGGGAAAAACTCTTTCTTCTACAGACTGATAACAAACATGTCCACGAAGTTGAAGGTCATAAAAGAGAAAGTCAAGTTTCAAACTCGATTTTTGCTGTAAACTAAGGAAAATGTTGTCGCTTTTATCTAGCCCCCTTGTTTTAATCTGTATTAGCTACATATAAAATCGTGTGACTTTCGCTAATTCGTCCGTCCGCCACACCTAAAATAGCCATACATTGACTGATCAGAACCAAATTTTGGGGAGAAGTGCAAGCAGGTAAGGGCGTACAAAGTACAGTTGGTTTTAATCAGGTGCATAGCTTAGTAAAATAAATTTTCATTAATTTTTTTGTGGGTTGGGGGGATTAAAATGTTTATTATTTAACATACAAAATAATCGAACTATTTTGGAAAACAATCATTAATATAACAAATATATATTTAATAAAATATGAAATATTTTTTTTTGTATATCTTTTAAGTTTTTATATATACAAGAATCTAGTTGCTAGTTCACCCTGCGTTTGCGAGAATTATAAACAAATCAGAAGGCGAAACGCTTCAAAAAATTGGAATTTCGCTCCAGAAAGAAATATTTACGCATTGCCTGTTATCTGTTGCATATTCAAGAGTAAGAAATCCTAAGAATTTATTTTCACTGTTAAAAAAAAGGAAAAAAAAAATCTTAAAAAATATTGTTTATCATGCAGTTCTATAAAATTAAATTCAATAAATTATTAGACTGTGAAGTTGTGTTTTTGTCTATGTATTTTTCCAAACAAATCAGCTTATTCCAATTTAATCGATTGATTTGCGAAAATTGAATGAAGCGTAGAGTTTGTAAATTGCAACAAAGATTTACAGCGTTAACTGAACAATACTAAAAAAACTACAAAAACTTTTAGTATTTATAAAAATAAATCTAATAATTCTGTTTTTGATGTAAGGGTTCGTGCATCAGAATTCGTGCCGATTTAACAGGCCTATTAATTATATCCTCTAACAGCAAAAACATCAGTTGGAAGCAATTTGGCTTAATGCATGAGAATTTAAACAAGTATTTTAAGTAATTGCAGGATCAGAGGTAATGACGCAATGTTGTTATGGCTGAATTTAAACGTACAACCATTTATTAAGGACTAGGCATTCATTTCAAAACTTGGATTTTACCTAGAAACTTAATTCTTAAATGCTGTCAAGGAATCTATCATTGCTTTGGGTTTCATAAGATTTATAAAACAGAGAGAATGTGTGGGTAAAGCACCGACTATCGTCGTAGAATGTGAAATTGGTTATCCCAATTGAAATTCCTATGTTATTGAGTTTCAGATTTTATTTTTTAAAGAATAATATCAACTATGAACACGGCCACAACGTGCTGACCTTATTTGGGAAATAACACGTTCACATAATTCTAGATACATACCTAAAAAAAATCAGTTAAAAATAAAAAAATAAAAATTCTCATCCTTGATAATAGCTACAAGAATAACTGAAAGCGCTCAGATATACAGAACAATTGGACAATGTTTTACACACTTTATGTACAGAAGAGAAAACACTTATATGAACACAAGGAAAATTAAATAGAAATCTTAATCGCAACACATTATCAGTATTCATTAACGAAACATTATATTATATTATATATATATATATATATATATATATATATAAAGACATTTTTATGTTTATACATTCTTTTTATAGATTATATATATATTAAATAATGCAGCTTAATTAATATTGTAAAATAGTCATTCAAAGAATAAATCAATGAAATTAATGTAATTAACGGCAAGCTCACTTTGCTAACAGATCAAGAAGGCATTAACTAACTGACCACTCGCTGAATGATACGATCCTTGTTTTTTTTTAATTATACAATTGGTTAGATGTTCGATCCATATTGCTTGCAAGTACTTTCGGTGAAAACATTTACTATCCTCAGGTATAGATGTTATTTCTTTCTCAATTTCAGGTAAAATTCCAAGACAAAAATGAATGTGATACTTGTCGAAAGATGTTTTGTTAAAAAAATCTGTGCTATTATTAACAGTTAAGAATTTTTTGAACGTACAGTAATGCGACGCTAGAGTTTTGAATATTGTAGTAATTTAGTGATTCACAATTTCTATTATTGTCTTTTTTCCGTTGACGTGACATGGACTATTGGTCCAATAATCGGAGTAATGTGTCTTAGAAGATTTCAAAAATATTTTTTATTGCAGATCGAACCTTTTTTTTAAATTATTAAATAATACAGTTTATTTAATATTGTTATATATATATATATATATATATATATGAACAAAAAAAGGGAAATTCGTTCATTGGTTTGTCTACAGGTGATATTTAGAGAAGGAAGTGTTATATCGCACGTTAGAATAATCGAAATCAAAAGCAGTAAGGAAAGATAATAAAGAAACGTGAGATGGTAAGAGAAAGGTAAAAAAAAGAAAAAGATGAAAGAATGAAAGAAGAATAAGAAGTTATTGCACGAATATTATGGCAAAGGAAGAAGAAAAGAGAAAAGAAGAAAAGAGAAAAGAAAAAAAAGATGAGAAAAGAAAAGAAGAAAAAGAAGAGAAAAGAAAAGAGAAGAGAGAAAAAAGAGAAAAGAAAAGAGAGAAGAGAAAAAAAAGAAGAAAAAAGAGAAAGGAAGAAAAAGAGAAGAGAAAAGAAAAGAGAAGAGAGAAAAAAGAAAAGAAAAGAAAAAAGAGAAGAGAAAAGAAGAAAAAAGAGGAGAGAAAAAAAGAAGAAAAAGAGGAGAGAAGAGAAAAGAAAAAAGAGAAAAGAAAAGAAGAAAAAGAAGAGAAAAGAAAAAAGAGAGAAAAAAGAGAAAAGAAAAGAAAGAAGAGAAGAGAAAAGAAGAAAGAGAAGAGAAGAGAGAAAAAAGAAAAAGAGAAAAGAAAAGAAAAAGAGAAGAGAAAAGAAAAGAAGAAAAACGAGAAAAGAAGAAAGAGAAAAGAGAAGAGAAGAGAAGAGAGAAAAAAGAAAAAGAGAAAAGAAAAGAAAAAAGAGAAGAGAAAAGAAAAGAAGAAAAAAGAGGAAAGAAAAAAAGAAGAAAAAGGAGAGAAGAGAAAAGAAGAAAAAAGGGAAAAGAAAGAGGAGAGAAGAAAGAGGAGAAAAAAGGACAAAGAAGAAAGAAAAAAATCAGAAGTTAAAAAAGAGGAAAACATTGTCGAAAGTCCTTTGTCATTTCCTTTTTAATTGATAAAGATACAAATAAAATAGGAAGAACTACAAACGAAAGAACTGCAGGCTCATGTCATTAAGATTACTGTGCTAAGTGAACACTTAGAACCCTTCCTGTATCCCAAGTGGGGGGGGGGTCTCCAGCACCCCCGCCCCCCAGTTTGTAACGCTGAATAGTTCTCCCAAATTAACATTTGGAAATATGTCCCGGCTTTTGAAACATTTCTCCTGTCCAGACATCACGCCCAGACACACATATATCTTTCGCTCCCATCTTGGCCTGCTGAGCAAGATGTTGGAAGTTTAGGGAACAAGTACCTTGGTGACTACAGTAATCCAGTTATAATAGCAAAAGATACGGCGATGAATGACAATTTGATAGTCTTGTATTATGGATCGTGAAAGGCAGCGTTCCTGTGTCGATAAAATAAACCGATCTGGCTTATCAGCAAACATTAAACTAAACAAACAATTTCGGGACTTAATGAGACAGTCAGACATCGACCTTGATCAACGGTAAAAGAAAAAATACGACGGGAAATGACTATTTTTTTTCTTTTCATTTCGTTGTTGTGCTTCATTTTTTTAAGCCTGTCATATTTAATCAATTTATTCGGTTCAGATAAACATAAATTCTGTCTGTAGATACATTCTTAAATTGCAGCGTTTTATATGAACAGTTATTTTTACAAAGTAGAAATAGAGGCACGAGCAATTTTTAACAGTGACACAGATACATCTGAAGCTAACATCGGGTGAACCTGTTGATAGTGAGCAAAGACATTTGGGCATATGTGGGAGTAAGCTTGAGTATGAATCATAGTCTCTTTCATATCATTCTTTGTGCTATTTCACTGAAGACATTGTATCAGTAGTCATTTAAAATGCATGATGTCGTTCTCAACGCGATGGAATAGATTAGTACTGGCTGGTTAATTTGGTAGCGACTGGGAAAATATCACTAGTAGTCGATGTATATCGCTACAAGTTAAATTTTGTAGTTGAATACATTTTCATACACATAGCACATCAACCAAAATATCAAAGCATACAATTAATTCAGACACAATTCATGATATATTATTCTATCGGATATGTAACAGTTGATGAAAAAAATGGAATCATCGCCGATTGACACATTGTAATTCCATGGTGTTTCGTATTCATCGTTGTAGAGTGAGAGGCCATGTTTTAATGTAAATAAATGTCAGAAGTACACTATTTACATTATTCGGACTATTGTCCTCATCTTTGTCGCCATATTTATCACAACGTTTCGGTCGTTTTACGCTCCGGCCTTCTTCAAGTGGTTGGAATGTCGAACTGAACCCTTTATTTCGCTCACTGAGGTAGACTGTTCAAGTTCCACGTGCTATGTTTAATGGACGTCAGTTATCAGTTATCTCTTGTTAATTCCGCTCTCCAAGTCCATTGCTGCCTTAACCGGGTATTGAACTCACACTCTTTGGTTCCTGTCACTGGATCTAACCAACGTGTTTATCCACTGTGCCATGTCCTTGAGGACACATGACATAGTGACAAGATGAGAATTGACAAAGTGTGCAATTACAACTGCAAGAACAAAAAAACGGCAAAAAATAATATAAAGCAAGCAAACAATATATGCAAGACAAATTAACAGTAATAAGTCAAAGCAACAGTTCACAAACTCAGAGAAAATTCGGATAATCGACGAATAAAAGTTCCATAACATCAGTTATATTAATGTGCTATAATATTACTGTATCTCAGAGAATATGACCATTGTAGAAAGTAGCGTAATACAAGGATGCGACTTCGCATCGGATTTATTCAACGTATAAATCAAAGTGAACCTAAGTAGTAGCAAAGGAGAGCAAGAAGAAAGGAATAACTATCAATTGTAAGCAGACAGAATGTGTGGCCATTAGCAAGAATGATAACCGAATTGAAGACGCCAGAATCAATCAAATACAGAAATTTGACTAGCTGGGAAGTATTATAGCGGACAACGGAAAATATGAACCAAAAATTCGAAGGCGTATTGGGATAGCGAAAGATGCCTTTCAACAGCTAAATAGTGGAAGCGTGTTGGGCTTATAACCTGTACATAGAGTTGTCATGGTTAAATGTAAATAAATGGCAGAACTGCTTAACAAACAGAATTGACAAGCAACAGGAAAAAAGAAAAGAACTGGCCAAAAATTAATATAAAGCAAGCAAACAATATAGGCAAGGCAAATTAACAGTAATAAGGCAAACAGTTCACAAACTAAGAAACAATTCAGATAATCGACCAATAAACGTACCAACACATCAGGTATATTAAAGTGCTATAATATTACTGCGTTTTAGATAATATGACCATTGTAGCGTAGAAATCAATTTCGAATTATCAGATGAGTAACGATTTTAGCGTTGATGTCCGAGTTCGCGTGTGAAGGATCCCGTATTAGGCCATGAAATTAGCTTGTCAGCAGCGTGTTGTGTCTGCTTGTGGTGTTTCTGTAACAGTGCAGAGGGTGTTCCGTCGAACATAAAATGCTGCGACATAAATTTTATAGCAGATCCTTTCTGCCCCATTATGATCGGCTCGCCATGTTTACCGGTGCTGGTGGTTTGTTCTAACTGGCGTGGGTGAGACGAAACTGGTCCCAGAAACACTGATGATTTCTAGATAGTCCATTGGTCCGCGCAGTCGCCAGAATTAAACCCTACCGTGTATGCATGGGAAATATTGGAAAGCTCACTAAATTCAATACAGCTACACCCAACAAACACACCTCAATTATGGACAGCCCTGTATTCTCACGAAGGTTTCTGGATAGATGTACCCACACAACGATTTCAACACTTAGTAGATTCCAAATATTACAAGTTCTTTGGCCTCTATTACACAGGTGAAGAGATACTCATTACAATATTGCTTTCTCCCATTTTGTTGTTCTGTCACTTAATATCGTAGTCTGGAGCTGGTTCAGAAACTCAAAAAAACAAAAAACAAAAAAAACAACTGCTCTGGAGAGTTCTATTTTGCTAATGACGATGCCCTGTTCGCTCACACAGAATCGGCTCTGCAATGTATAATAACTCCAGGTTTGTAAAGGTTACATTACTGAAGTCAGGTTGAAGGAAATTGTAATGCACAACTTTCTATCGCTTTGAGGCAACTGAAAACAGTCAGAAGTGTACTTATCAAAGTACTAACCTGGATAAATAGAGCTTGTAAAAACGTATCAACAGAAATTAAAGTAAGAATAAAATAACTGTAAAGAAATCTCTTTTGATGATCATATAACAGATAATTAAATCTTTAGTTTGGGTTTTTTTTTAAGCATGATAGTCTCGGGTTGTAAATCATCTACTGCCGTTCTTCTTTTATTTGCCAAGTAATTTTAAGACGTAGGCGATCACAGCTCTCTATAATTTCCTGCCTTTTGTTGATCTAAGTTACTTTTTACTCTTTACCACCCTTCTTTGTCCTTGTTTTGCACTTGATATCCGCTGAAACTGATTAGATCATTCGCTCGCTGTTTCTCTTGCATCCAATGTCTTGTGAGTATTACATTTTGAAAGCATTATTTCATCATTATGTGTCCCGGAAATCTTAGCTAACTTTATTTTTCTAATTGTATCAGTTCGTTGGATTTCATATTTTTCTTTCCCGTATTAGTCCAGTCATTCATACGAGACCCATCCACCATGAAGGGATCAGGTGGTCCTCGTTTGAAGAGACGGGCTATAACGACGATGACGATAAGACGTAACGATTCGAGTGAATAGTATCAGCACAAGATTATTCTGTAATATATCTTATAAAAATATCTTTATTAAAGAATTCTTTAAAACATAAGAAAAAAAAATAATGATGATGCTGCAGCAAAAACAGGAAAACGACTACATCCAGTAAGAAAAAATCCATGACTATATTTGGATTATGGTAAAGTCTCCTGGATAAATTGCCAGCAGGCTGTCATGAAAAAGTCATTTTGATCTTCATAGCAGTTTAATAAGGTTATTTGGTACGAATGTTTTTGGAAAAGACATGAACTCTAATTCCCTGTATCAGATTTCCTATTAAGTCATCATGACATTTTTGTTTCTAGCACAACTCAATAAGAAGGAAAAACTCAGGACATATATAGTTACCTATCCCCCCCCCATCAGTATCAGTATTTGGTGTTTGTAATGCGGATTTTCTCAGCAGTTGGGCACGCCCTCCTCACGTGGAAGATAGGAAACTGACTGAACTTTGAAAGACAGGCATTTTTTCCCTATTTATTTATATATATATATATATATATATATATATATATATATATAACTTTAAACGTTATTTTTAGTGGATATTCATATTTGAGTAGACGCCCTGTTTACTCATTAAACAGTATATTTATTTATTTTCGTCTGACTATTTGAGAAATTTTATTAAAGAAAAATATTCGATCTCCGGCAAGATTCGAACCTGCGTTCTGGGAAAAATCCGACGTGTTTTTTCTCTAATATTCAGGCAGGTAGACGATAATAAATAGAGTGTTTAATAAATAAACGGAGCGTCTACTCAAATATGAGTAACCACTAAAAGTAACGTTTGAAGTGATAAAATCTGTCGGGTTAATAAATAAAAAATCCATTACTTCTTTAGAAATCTCTTTGGTGACGTTTTCATACAAAACTGCGTAGATATGAACATTTCGAGAGTCTATGATGAGAAAGAGTTCGCTTAAAGGCTCTATTTAGCCTTGCTTCATCGGCAAAGTGCTTCGTAGCAGTTAAACAGGCTGGTTAAACAGGCTGGATATTATATATATATATATATATATATATATATATATATATATATATATATACACATACACTATTTTACCTTGAGGGAACCCTTTCGGCCAACATTTTCTCAAAAGGTAATCTTTGACGAAGCAGAAAACAATTGAGGACATATTAATAAATAAAGAATAAGGAGGGAGAATTGGAAAACTATTAAAATAGATTTTAATTATGAATA